TTGTCTTATGTTTCAGTCCTGGGCCACTTATTAAAAGAGGCTCTTCTAATCCATTCAACTTTGATCCAACAATACTACTTGGACAGGATACCAACCTGAAATAAACTTGATGAGACTAGTTTTGGAAGTCGCGCTGGTAAAAGACAATAAGCAGTTTAATGTGGATTTAGTAAATCTGACTTGGGACTAAAGACTCTATACTTCATGCTTCTGTCTCACATACATAGAAAGACAGTATAAATGAAAAGAATGCTTTTATTTTGTAAGTGGGTGAATTTTCTCTTCCAATAAAATATCTAGGGACATCATCATCTGGGAATCCCAAAACAGACACTCAGACCCTATGATAACTCAGATATATGCTCTGAAGTACACATGTTAGATGTGTATGAAGGGTTTGAAAAAACATTTTAATGAAATGTGAGGGCAGAAATAAGCAGTATTTCTCAAATGATATTTATAATGATGTAATTTTTAATCTGTAGGCATAATCCAATGAAGATATTAATTATAAGTGAAGATTTAATTTTATGGGTATTAATATAATTTTATGTATTCAAGTTGTAAAACCTCTCCTTTTTTACATCCAGAGGTTTCCGCCAAAAAATGCGAGATCCCCTGATGTTAAGACTAACAATGTCTCAGGTGATGCCTACTACATTCTACTCATTTTTAGAATCATGTAACAATGGGTCTTAGAAACTGAAGGTATTCTGCCAATACTGACCAATTGTTCCAAAATGACCTGTAGACCAGATCATACTTAATACATTTCCTGTACTCATGATTCATAAAGTACTTCAGTAGGTGATCATTTGAATTCTATAGGATTGGCTTTCTTTTTTAAATCACTGACCATGTCTGAACCTATGTGGTAGCTATTTCTAACAGAAAGTGATAGATCCAGGATCACAGTCCATATTTTTTTCTGCACTACACTCTCCTAAAAACACTTTTTAAAGGACGTCATGAACTGTATCTGTGTCACCATATTTAATAAGATTGCTATAATTTATATTGCAGTCGGGTGGACGAAAGAGGACCAGAATGCTGTGTTTCAATTTATTAATTCTTTGTGCCTATGACCACAACCACTAAGGAAACCAAAAAATATCATTACATTTCACAATTCTAATGTTTTACCAGCATTGTGAAAATTCTTTGAAAACCTGTAGTTGACTAGATCTGGCAATCTAGAAACATCCCTGGGAGGTGTTCTCCCTCATCCAGGCAAAATTTCATCTCTAAGGGTAATGAAGAATGAACACATTTACTAGCCTGAATGTAGAAAAACAAACAAACAAACAAACAAACAAACAAACAAACCCAGCTCATGACATTAATGGATATGTTTGCACAGTTCAATGTGTCCATCCCTGGTATGAATCAGCTTCTGACAAAATGACAAGTTCAGCAATTTTTGTTCATTCTTTTTCACTGGTTGTTTTTGGAATCAAGTAAATAAGATACACAAATTTCTTTACAAACCTTTCAGTACAGAAATCCCACAGGGACCTAACATCCCCACCCCTCAGGGACCCCCAGTTGCTCTAGCAAGTTAGCTCCTCGTCAATGTCGTCCACGCGAACTCAGGCGGCAACCACCCCCCAAGGACTGGGAAACAGTCACCTACCTCTCCAAGGATCCTGCTGCCATTTGTGTCCAAACTGGAACCAAATCCTAGAATTCTGGGCCAGCACCAGCCCCTGGCCTCCGCCCCTGCATCACCTGCCTCCCCTCCCTACGTTATACGGAAGAATGAAAGAATATTTACCTGTAACCCTGAGCAGTGTGCCAGGACCGAACACTTTGTGGGCCCAGCTATACCAATCCCACTCTCTGAAAAGCTTTTACAGAAATCTCCCTTTGTGTCACCTTTTAAAATTGTGCCCATATATTCACAATATTTATATAAATATGTAAAAACAGGCCCTGCTAACATTAAACAAAGATGAATCTCAAGCCAAATCACATTAGATATGAATGCAGTCAAGAAGGGATGAACTGACCCCTTTCTGCCTGGGCAGCTGGGTTCTGTCTTTCCATCTTGCTCGGGTTGGAGGGTATGGTTTTACCTTTCCTCAGCATTTTGCTGAATCCTCTAAACCTCTCTTCTTAAGACGTTTTCATGTATCAGATCAGTTCTTTTCCTGGAATCTAATTTACAGTTACTTCTTCCATAATTTTCAAAGAGGAACAAAAATAGAAATAATATATTTGAGTATTTAATAAATGAAAGTTAATATTTTTACAGGTATTTTTTGTTGTTTCTATGTACTGGGGGTGGGTAACTGGTTTGGTTGAAAAGTAAGTTCTTGGGGCACCTGGGTGGCTCAGTCGGTTAAGCGTCTGACTTCGGCTCAGGTTATGATCTCACGATCCGTGAGTTCGAGCCCCATGTCGGGCTCTGTGCTGACAGCTCAGAGCCTGGAGCCTGCTTCAGATTCTGTGTCTCCCTCTCTCTCTGACCCTCCCCCGTTCATGCTCTATCTCTGTCTCAAAAATAAATAAAACATTAAAAGAAAAAAATTTAAAAAAAAATTTAAAAAAAGAAAAGTAAGTTCTTTCCAGAATCCCACTCCCGATGATAGTAGACCAGAAGAGAGTCTGAAATCGGCATGATGATCTCTTAACCTATTTACGCTGAGACTGCCCTTTTTCTTTTCTTAATGTTTATTTAATTTTGAGAGAGAGAGAGAGAGAGACAGACAGACAGACAGACAGAACATGAGCGGGGAAGAGGCACAGAGAGAGGGAGACCCAGAATCTGAAGCAAGCTCCAGGTTCTGAGCTGTCAGCACAGAGCCCATCAGGGGGCTCCAACCCATGAATCCCGAGATCATGACCTGAGCCGAAGTCAGACGCTCAACCGACTGGGCCACCCAGATGTCCCGAGACTGCTCTTTAGACTTGACAATGCCTCTGTCGTTTCCAGGGAACTGATGTAAAATCCTGAGCTGCTCATCAGAGGATCCTGTCTGGTCTGGTCTTTCTGCCGCTGTCCCAGCCTAAGCGGAAAAGCAGCTGTGGGTCATGCGGCCGAGTCCTGAGTGTAGGCCACCTGCTCCAGCTGTCCTGCCCGAGTCAGCGTTTCCGGCGCACTTGATGCCGATGCGAAAAGAAGACTGAATGCAATGGTGTGGAAAGAACTTGTCACTTTATAGAAATACCCTAAGACTCACACTGAGAATTTAATAAATGCATATTCTACATGACTTACTCATTTAGGGGGAAGAAAGGCAATTTTAGTGCCCTGATTAGAAGCAGAAGAATTGTTTTCACATGAGGAGTAATACACACAATGAACTATTATTAGTTAAGCCTTCAACTAAAGAGTCGATTTAAAATGTCAGGCTACACAGAGTAAATATGCAGAATTAAAAATACAGCTTAATGTTTATAATACCATATAATGGCCTAGACCACGCTCCGTGAGACAGGTCTCTGTTGGCTCCAAATTTTGCCATAGTAACTAGCCATGTGAATTTAGGCAAATACCTGAACTTCTCTAAACCTCAGTTTCCCCAACAGTGATATTAAAATAAGAGGGTCTCCTGGGCAGGGCTGTTGAGGACTGAGATAAGGCACTGAAACTAGTCAGCATGATACATGGCTCTCAGTAAATAGTAGCTAATATCATTATTCTCTTTACTCAGATGGTTTGGGGCCCCCTTATCAAATGTTCCACTAAACAAAATGTATGGATTTTATAAGCAATAAGTATTACAGAAAGTAAGAAAGCAAAAGGGCTCGTGAACCTAAGACATTCTGTGTCTCTGGTGGCCACATGCTGAAAAACAGGGGCCCAAGAAGTCACAATCGAG